TCCGCCGGGACCCGGTTTGGCTGACCGTGAGGTAGATGTTGGCTGGCTGGCTGGCTGGCCAATGAGAGCCACCCATTTCTTCAATGTAGACGTTGCATGTGCAAATCTTGCGATTTTCGCGCGGGAATCATGTCAAAATCTAGTTAGGCGCCCGGAGTGGCCGCCGGGGGTGACGGAAGCGCGAGCGCCGACGCGCGTGGCCGGCGGCCAGCCGGTCGCCGCAGCCGCCCCAGGACGGCGCGGCGCGCCGTAGGCGCGCGTTGTAGAGGTTGTAGCGAGGGGTCGTTTCGTGGACCGGACGTCCCTGGCTGGCTGGCTGGGTCGACCCCCGGCGGCTGGCTGCGGTCTTGGCCTGCCCTTGGTCCGCTGCCGGCTCCCGGGGCAGCGTCGACGTGTGGTCGATTGTTGAGTCGCAGCGATGTTCGCGCTGTTGAGGCCGCGGGCGCGGGCCATGTTCGCGCTGTTGAGTCTGCTCGCGTCCGCCCTCGGCCTCCAGGGCTCGCACCGCCGCGCGCCGCGCCGCGGCCCCGGCCCGCTGGCCGTCAAGGAGTCGACGGACATGGACGCGCTCCTGCGGTCCGTCGTCGGCGCCGGCACGGGCATGGGCGCCCGGCGCCGCGGCAAGGGCTCCCACGTGAACAAGTACCGCAAAGCAGCCGAGGACGCCGAGGACCCCTGGGCCGCCGCGGTCGCGCGGGCCGAGCGCGGCGAGGCCGCGGCCGCGAACGCGACGGCCGCGCCGAGCTACGCGCTGCGCGCGACGTGCTTCGCGGAGGGCGCCGCTCTGGCGCGCGCGCGGCCGAAGTCCGGCGCCGCGCCGGGCGCGGTGCTCGACTTCGACGCCCGGGACCCGTCGACCTTCGGGTTCGCGGAGCTCGGCACGGTCGTCGGCGCGCACGGCGTGAGGGGCGGCCTCCGCGTCGACTGCTACGAGGGCGACGGCGCGGCGCTCCTGTCCCCGGGCCTGCGGCACCTGCGCCTCGCGTCGCGGCGGTCGCCGCGGCCCGTCGTCGTCGCCGCCGCCCGCGAGCTCAAGCGCCTCGGCGCGAAGACTCGGTTCGTCGTCGAGCTCGCGGGCTGCGCGCGCG